CCCCAAAACCCCAAAACCCCAAAACCCCAAAACCCCAAGCAGACTTAAAAACACTGAAATTAAATAATTAATATATTTAATCATGGTCATATTTACAAAGCTGTTCTGCCAACTGGCCCATTGTGGTGACAAGGCAAAGTACTACCTTCCATGCTACTCTAAGTATGTCTGAGGAGGTTGTAAACAAGGCAGATATTTCGACGACAAAGTACTCTTGCTTGTTGATCCTAGTGAAGTAAAGAGAGCCTTGCAATATAGTAAGTCACAAATTGCCAAGAATTAGGTGAACTCTAGCAATCTCCCTGCATAAGGCTCTGTGAAGGAAGAGGAAGGAGTATGATAGAGCAATGCTTCTTAAATAAGCGTTCAGGTCTGAGACACTGTATTTAGAGCCCCTTTTATTACCAACATTTTGTTCAAGGAACATATTTAAATTTAGTATTCTCGATATGCTCTTAACATCGTGGTTTAGTCGAATACAATCTTCAGACAATACAGTGAGTTCTAAGTTTTAATAAGTGTTTGTAGATATTTGAATTAAGAGAGAGCCAGGACTCAAAACCAAATGGATAGACCATCTTGAGTTGCTTGAAAGTTTCAGACAAAGATATGATCAATTGAAGCATACATTTGCCAAACTCTCTAAGAATGAGAAATGGCCTGAACTCAGTGAGATTTTAAATGAAGTTGGTAAGCTATCTAGTTGTCTTACCCTAGCTTGTAATATTAACTTATTTCTTCGTATAGATTGTCTACAGAAAGAGTTCAAGAGAAGTGAAATATTCAATGACTTTCTTCACTATGAAAGAGAAGAGAAAGTCATGTTAATATCCAAAGGAGTAACTGTTCAAAACTCCTCATTAAAAGAAAACATTCTTCTCAAAGATGGAATCGAGAAACTACAAAAAGAGAAAGAAGAAATCCAAAAGGAGTTGAATGATAAGATAAACGAGCTTACAGCTATGAATACTGAAATAACTACAGAAAGAGATCAACTCTCCAGAGATCTTGAAGCTGCTACTACAGAAGTAGTCCAGATCAAGGATAGAAAAACTAATCTGGAGAAAGATCTAGCTCAGATCAAAACTGAAAAGCAAGAGTCTCTCAAACAGCTCGATGCCCTTAAAAATAACTATGAAGAGCTTCAGAAGCTTATCAATAGCTCAGATGAAGATGTCAATATGATTGTGAGTCTTTTTCAAATAAAATTTCAAAATTATCTTGAAATTAACTTATGAATTCTAGAAATAACAGCATTGAGAAGAAAATTGGTCAGATAAAAGAAGCTCAAGATAGGAAGAAAACAAAGAGTTCTAAAGATAAGAACTCTGACAAAGGTACATCTCCTTCATCTCTAACTTTTCCCAAACATTATCCACTCCTTTGCTTGTAGGGTCTTCAAAAGAGTCAAAATCTGATAAAGAGGAGAAGAAGGATGAGAAGAGACCGAAAAGAGAGGTAAGGCTTATTCTCTAGATATAGGTTGATCTTTACACTCAAGTTGAGAACCAGAGTTACCTCGCAAAGGAGACACTTAAAGACCCAAAATGTAATTTTCGTGTTGATTAGATATATTGTAATCCGATACATTTCTTTTAAAGAAGTTATTTTCAAAGTATTAAGATGACTTCATTGAAATTGTTCGTTGGCAAGAAGACTTGGGCCAGATTCTTCCTTCCTCTAAAAGATCGTTGGCTAATTTCGGAGATTCTTTATTTATGTATAATACTTCTATCAGTTCACTTACATTCTTATCTATACTATCTCGGGATTTCCCAAAGATCTTCAAGAGAAGCAATAAGAAGGAGTAATTTCTACATCTTGTTGCTTACCTAGAGTCCTTCTGAACCTAATTTTTACTCCAAATCCAATATTTCTCAACCGAAAGGATCCTCAAATGACCTATATATAATAGGCAAGGCTTTCCTGGAGAGCATCCTCAGTTCCAAAAGCGTCAAGTTCAAGATGTGGCAGAAGGTTGACTTTAAAGTAGCCAAGATCCTGACCAAGTATGCGTGCCAGCATTTAGAAGATATTGTAGTGAACTATATGGGGTGTGTAGATGCAGGTAAGTGGGATTATTTGAGAGAAATTAATGTATATAGCCACCGCAAAATTCTTCCTCAACACATGCATTCCTCCCTCCCTACCCTACCTAAACCTCGGCTTCCACAACGGCCGCATTCGTACACCCATCACCCCCTACCTCCCCTCAGTCCTAGCCCTGAAACCCAAGATCACAACCAAGCTAATCCTCACCCAGGCCATCATCACTGAAGAAGAGAAGGAGATCCTTGACAAAGCCTTCATCGGAATCGTACTTGAGTACGTAAATGGTAAGGAAAATTTGGAATTTTATAGGCTGAGTGGAATTTGTGGATGAGTAGTAAGAGGAAGTGGGAATTTATTTGGAAGTTCAAGCAAGATATTTTGGACTGGGGTTTTGGGGTTTTGGGGTTTTGGGGTTTTGGGGTTTTGGGG